GATCCCACATACAGACCGGTTCCCACTCACTGGCTGAGCGAGGTGCGGGTGCGACGCCAAGGGTTGCGATCCCGTTGCCGGTCCCGGTCTGGTACGGGAGTGACACTGAGGGTTGTGATCCCGTTGCCGGTCCCGGTCTGGTACGGGAGCGACACTGAGGGTTGCGATCCGTTGCCGGACACGAAAAAAGACAAAAAAAAAAAAAAGGAAAGACCAGTAAGTTACTTTTGATAATTCAAGAGAGCTAGAGTTTAGTAAAAGTGACTTTAAAGAATTTTGAGTTTGAACATGTTCAGAGGAGACCACATTTGACAGTGGTCTTTTTCTATGTACCAGACCACTATTGTACCACATGTCTGCACAATTGGAGCAGCTATCTTCAAGACAAGGGATTTTTAAAGAATATTTTCTGGTCAGTCTCAGAGTTCAGGATCGTCCTGAAACAATGTATTTGAGAAAATGGTAAGTCATAACATTTTTGCCCTTCCAGCCATCTCAGGGCAAGGTTAAGTAAATACATTTGTTTTTCCCTTCTCAAGATGTACATTTAAAATCATGTAGAATATTCGTGGTCTATCTGAGCAAAATAAGCACTACTAGAACTTTATTTTGCCTAAGAAACAAAAGAAAAAAAAAAGAAAAGAAAGTATATCTTTATCAAGTAAGCTTAGAACTCAGCCAGGACAAAAAATTAAAAACTTACTTGAAATTGCATGTGTCATTTCAACATTGCATATCCATATAGAAGCTCTGAACATCAGACTTACTGAAATGAACATTTTTATCCATGCATTTCTGTATTTATGTACAGAACAGCATAATAATATATACAACACTACATTATCATTGCAGACTTATGTGATATGTCAGCACTGCAAAAATTCAAGAAAAAACATAAATGTATTTATAGTAATATATTATCATTGCAAAAATGTGTAAAGATAGAAAATTATAAGGAAGACAATAACTAACCCTTTATTCTACTACCTGCTGATAACCATTATTCTTAGCTTTTCTTCTACAGACTATAAAGTTTTGTTTTCTAAATTTTTCCCTCACTTTCACAATCTAAGCCCTTGAACACATTTCATTTTAATTGCTGCTTAATATAGAATTATGTGGATACAGCATAATTTATTTAATCAGTTATATATGTATCTTTGTTATTTGATTGCATAAATTATTTTACAAGGAAAGAATCATTTTATGTATATTTCATTTCTTTTTTTCTATTGGTTATGAATATTCATGGGGTACAAAGCTGACCATCACCACTCGTGCTCAAGATGTGATGGCCAGATAAATACTAGCAGCATGCCCATTACCACAAATTGTGATTATTCTATGTCCCCCACCCAATTAATCCCCGACCTCCCTTCCTCCCCCACACCCAGTACCCTACTCCACAACCCTAGGTCTGCTCTCTCCCTCTGCAAGTCCAACACACCACCATGGTCTTTCTTTCCTTCCTTCTCTCAGCTCCCACTTATGAGTGAGGACATGTGGTATTTTTCCCTCTGTGCCTGGCTTATTTCACTCAACATAATATTCTCCAAGCTCATCCATGTTGCTGCAAAAGTCAAAGTTTCATTCCTTTTTATGGCAGAGTAGTATTCCATTTTTTACATATACCACATTTTCTTTATCCATTCATCTTTCAATGGACAGTTTGGTTCCATATCTCAGCTGTTGTAAATAGAGAGTGCAGGTATCCCTTCAACATGGTGACTTCCATTCCTTTGGGTATATACCTAAAAGTGGGATTGCTGGATTATATGGTAGATCTATCTGTAGTTGTTTGAGAAAATGCCATACTGTTTTCCATAGTGGTTGTACTAATATATAGTCCCACTGACAGTATGGGAGCATTCCCTTCTCTCCACATCCTTGCCAGCATGTGTTATTCTCTGCATTTTTGATTATAACCAGTCTAACTGGGGAGAGGTCATATCCCAATATGGTTTTAATTTGCATCTCCCTGATGGTTAATGATGTTGAGCAGTTTTTTTTAAGTGCCTGTTGGACATCTGTATGCCTACCTTAGAAAAATGTCTATTCAGGTCCTCTGCCCATTTTTTAATTGGGCTATTTATTATTATTATTTTTTTTTTTTTTTTTTTTACTGTGTAATTGCTTGAGTTCCTTGTATATTCTGGATATTAATCCCTAGTTGGATGTATAGATTGCGAATATTTTCTTCTACTCTGTACATTGATGTTCCACTCTGTTGATTGCTTCTTGTGTGGTGCAGAAGGTTTTTAGCTGGATATAATCCCATTTATTTATTTATATATTTTTTGTTGCTTGTGCTTTTGGGCTGTTGTTCATAAAGTCTGTGCCCAGACCTAGTTCCTGAAGTGTTTCTCCTATTTTTTCAGTTAGTAGTTTTATAGTTTCAGGTCTTATACTTTAGTCTTTAATCCATTTTGAGTTGATTTTGGTATATGGTGAGAGGTGCAGGTCCAGTTTCATTCTTCTGCATATGGATGTCCAATTCTCCCTTCACCACTTATTAAAGAGGCAGTCTTTTCCCCAGTGTATGTTTTTGTTGCCTTTGTCAAATATCAATTGGCTGTAAATCTGTGGACTGATTTCTGGCCAGTACCATGCTGTTTTGGTTACTATAGCTTTATAGTATAATTTGAAATCAGGTAGTGTTATGCTTCTGGCTTTTTTTTTTTTTTTTTTTTTGCTTGGGATTGCTTTGGCTATTTGTGGTCTTTTGTTGTTCCATATGAATGTTGG